AGCAGAAGCTCTTAATAAGGTTTGAGTTAGAGATATTGAGGGAGATTTCTTAGAAAAACTGTGGAAGTTAATACCTAGAAGGATAGCTGCAATTTTGGATGACAAGGGATGGTATACCAAATATTTCTTTTATTTAAAATTCTTTTACTTTAAAATTATCTTTACTGTCTATATTTACTATTTCCCAAGTCTTAATTAATTTGAATTATTGGCAGGGGTGGGGTGTGAGCTAGCATTGAGCATACATTGGCCATTGCATCGACCAGACCAAAACTTTTGTCCTCGTACTTTATACACCAACCACCCCCTTGTTACCAGCAAAATAAATAAATACTGGTGCAGCCGGTAAGAAAACGATAACCTCTACGAGCGCGGCCGATAGATATATCCGTCACGTGAAATATGAGAGGCAAAAGCGGCACATTGCAATAGGCGGAATATCTTTTTGATGCCTCAACTGAGTATGATACCTTTTGGTTTGGCCCACAACTTACCCATAAATCCAAAAGAGATATGCGATTAGGGTTGTTCTAAAACATTGGATGAGGGGAATAAGGCTCGCAGGGAGTTCTACATGATTACGACAATGTCCGGGCATTCATCGTGGTTGCGATGTGCCGCTTTTGCTCCTCAGATTTCACCTGACGGATATATCTATCGGCCACGCTCGTAATTGTAGTGTACCGTACTAGAGCATAAACTAAGTTACGGTGTAATGTGCCCTGGATCCTAATGGCCCATTTCGTTGATTAGCATCAAAACTCGACCTGCACGCAAGCAGCGGGAACCCCGAATCCAGAATCAAGCGAAATACCACGACCTAACCCGCAAAGGTATCCCGGTATGGGGCTACTAGCTCCGGAATTTTACTTACCGGCCTACGTATCCCCCAGTCTGTAAGTAAATCTCCTGGTAGGGTACTGCATCCGGAAAACTCCCGGTAAGTAAGCTTCCTCGAAGGACTGAATAGGGGAAAAAATAATTATCGGCCTACCGCAAAAAACTCGAATATCGTAGCAGGTTGGTATTCCTGTTCTCGGCTACCCGAAGGGGAAACCCTGCAAACCCGGTACCCAGGGGAAGACGAAGCGAAAAGGAATATAGATACTACGGCTTACTAGGAGAGGCAACCCGATGTCACTGCCGTGTTCATCTTTTCTTTCAGTTTCCACAGTACTCGTGAAAGAACCTCCAAGGCCGTCCGTAGGATATTAATAATAGGCCAAAGGTGGTCAGATGTGCAGGTGGCAATATGTGACAGGAACAGTTCTAGTGGGCCTGATGAGGGGTCGGATGTCATCAGGGTGGATATCTAATGCGTCCCGGGAAGCGATATAAGAATATCACTCGCAGCCTGCCAACTCAGAGTTTTAGCCGTTCTTAGAGAAATGGCTAAAACAGCAGTATCGACAACGAAAACTGTGGTTTTTTTCTGCTTTCAGATGTAGTTCAGGATTGTTTTCAGGGTGTAATGTACCCAGTTTCCCCACAAACCCATAACCAGGGCAATACAATACCAAATCATTCCCAACATACTACTAGCTCGTCCAGGGATTTTTTGCTTGATTCTCATTCCCAGGGTCATCGGCCAATGCCGGGGCCAGCAGCAAGGCGGTGCAATGCCACGGGTGCGTCCCGCTAATGCAGATCCCTGTGCTGGGCTGTGCAGCACGCTGAGTCCTAGTTTATGCTTGCTATTCTGATATGAAATCAAATCATCGAGATCTCCCACGTAGAGAGAACCGGAAATGCTTCCCCGCGATTCAGAAAGAATTCGTGTTCCTAATCACTATCTTCTCTCGGGCATCGAAGGGCCCTCCACAATGTTGAACGAAAAAAATTGAAAACTTGAGTTTCGCTGCCAAAACTCTAGCACCGGCAGACTACATCTTTTCCTAGTAGTAGCCTTTCATGCCCGAGTTTTTTTCTCTCGCCGTTTTTTGTGGAAGGGATAGTAGGCTCTATTGGGATCGATTGTGGAACGGCTATTTTTTCGTAAGTGGACACTCTAATAGTTTAATTCAAACGCTCTTACATCGGATAGTTTGAATTCAAATTCACAGGCGCTCCCTCAATCTAAAGGAGGTAAAGCGCACATCGTTTTCCTCGCTTACTACTTCTGCACCGCCTGTTACAGGCCTCAGCATAACTGGGGTCAGACTCCGCTAAGTCGCATTGAAGTAGGACCTACCGTATCTGGCTTATAACCTTATCAAAGGGACTAGACGTCTTCTCTATATTCCCCAGATCCTATAGGTCAGGATCTACCACCCGTCCTGCGACATGTGATGGATCGTGCATTGATAGCTCTGTGCGAGATAGGGGGCTCAACTCCCGGTATTTTCCTGGTCCTTGAACAAAGTTTAATTGATATTCCCGGCATCTTGGCTACTGTTCAAGTTAGCTATCTAAATCACGTTACTTTACCGTGAGAACACGCAATACGGCACTAGTATCCTTATTCCGGATTCGATTTCTTTTTCCCACCCGAAGTCAGAGATAACGACGCTACCGGACATACATGACCGCATTATCCCCAGAAGTTTTTGATAGGGCCAAATTTCCCTGCATGATGCCAAAGATAACTTAGTAAGACCAGTATTTTCCTTGCACAATCAACAGCACAGCTGAGTAATACTAGCAGTTTGGCTCTTGATATAGTTGTCGGAGTGGCCCAACTTACCAATTACCCCACAGTGAATGATAATGTTTAGATTAGGCATAAAGACCTACAAGGATAACAGAATGCAGCTTATGATAAGCGGTAAGTTGGTGCCTTAATGCCATCAATTATGCAAACTTATAAAGGAAGGAGCAGTTTCCACGACAGGCTTACCCCCAGTGGTCAAGGGGAACTGAGTGTATTCGATAATGACCCGAATATGCCTCCCATAATAGTCCGGAGAGCAATTACATAGTTTATTTTTTCAGTATGATGTAGTGCATGATCAGGAACGTGCGCACCCTCTGGAGGAGGGAAATGTAATATGGTTTTTAAAGAGATGATGATGATCGCCGGAAAATCTGCAGCAGAGAGAAAAAAATAAATACATTCTTGCCTGAGGGCATGAAGGTAGGTGATATTTGGATAGATGGCAATCTGTGGATCGATAAGAGCAAACAGGGGAGTATCGTACTAGTACGGGGATACTGTATTCCTGAATTACGATACCCCTTCGGATCTTTATGCCCAGTATTAGAATTGAGCATCATGGATTTCATTGCTGACTGCCTCACTCATCAAGGGTCATGCTATAAGCAAAAAAACACGCCCCCAACATTCCAGGGCGTGGCACGCCCGCCACCCCCCACTGATTACTTGTGCGGGAAGCCAAGTCCTGTCACACTTATGTTACCATCATAGTAACATTCTGCGAGAGAACATATCTCCCTGCAGTTCTTCAGGTTTCCTTCCTTCCCGGGCATCGTATACAAATCTCCACCACCAACCCTCGCACCAAGCTCCCAACACAAGGCGCTCCTGCTATTGAGACTTGTATCTTTCCATTCCTAGAACCAGTTGCTGCCGACTCACCATCTACCCTCTACCCCCCTCCCGCATCACTAGAACGGCCGAACCCAACACATCACTCCAACCCCTACCGGCGAACCACCGCCACCATCACAACCTTGGCCATAACCGGTAAGGTACAAGTACTCGAGTACAAAGTACACGGCATCTACCCCAGAATTCTGGAGACCCCAGTGACATAACTCCTAGCCAGCCCCCCCCCAAATTCCCCATTACCGGCACTCGAGTACGGTACGCGTACGTAACTGATTACGTTCTGCACATCTACACTACCCCCCACGATTGGTAAAAAGTGAGATCAGGGGAGGAATTATCCGAAGGGGATAGCAATGTTTAACAGAAATCGAAGAGCTAGCACCCCTTTCCTTTGCAAAAGAGAACCCGGGGTCAGTGGCGGGGGGGCTTGAAGGGTGGCGGAGGAAATTATAGCACGGCGCTCGAGTACTGTACAATACTAGTATTGTGCAGAATTTATTCTGGTGGCGTTTTGAGAGTGATGCCGGGCCGTGCCCGATTAGTAGGTGGAGTACCGGTACGGTAAGTTGGTAGTTTTTACTCTTCCAAGCTGATTAGCATAAGATTTTTTGGTTAACCGGGTAACTGGGTCCCCCTGTAAAGAGTAGCCTATTTAGGCTGCTGGTCGTCACACAAGGCAACCAAGGGGGGGAAAGAGTTCCGGTCTCCTTTTTACATGCCATAAAAACCCACAAAAACCACCGCCATGTGCTCTCTTGCGATTCGCGATCTCTGTTCCATCCCTAATCTCCATCTTCAGAGACAACAGGCCTTAAGAAGGATTAATGTTTTCCTGACATCGTACAACATGGTCTCAGCCCCTAACCGGGACCGCATCTCGTCAACTGGTCTTCGGAATTCCGTTGACCTGTCAGACCAACCCTACTCCGGGCTGGCTGGGATTGTGGATTTTTCACGACTTTTTAGGGTGCTCGAGAACGGCACCATGCTTATACCGGATACAACTGCCCTCTCGGAGAGGGTATGAATGTTATGATGACGCTTGGAAAAACCCTTTGTGTGGGCGCCACGCCGTGATCTGGAACATCGAGAGGGATGGGCACAGTATGAAATGCTGATGTCTGTCTTGGAATTGGTATTGTGGTTGGAATAGAGCGTCCGCACAATTCACAAAGTATCCGGGTGAAAATACCAAACTCGTATTCTGTGTCTATATCCGAGGTTCTTGGCACCTCCGTTCCAGGATGCATCACGAATTGGTGAGCAGTTTTGTGGGTAAGTACAGAGCCGACGGGAATATACCGGTACTCGCGAGAGGGAAAGTGTTAACAGTGAGCAACGCAACCAACAAGCATGAGAGAAAAAGAAAAGAAAAGGAAAGGGGGGTGCAATTCCTGGTGAGACGGTGATTGTATCATAGCAACGGGAGATTCATCCATCTACCCACTGTCTCGTGGGTGAGAAACAAAGTAGAAGACACCGCATCACAATCTCAAACCTCCACCCCAACCCCCACTGGAAAATCCTCCGGTGACACCCCCCTTCTCTCTGCCCCCCTCTGCCGCTCAACATAAGACTGATTCTCCACGGTCCATGGCACTGCAGGAATATACATGACAGAGCTATCACTGGCGCCACGGTGTACCCGATCCACGGCATGAATGGTGTCACAGTGCCAGAAGACGTAGTCGCCCGGCGAGATGCGGGGCACATGTGTCATTGCGTCGTCCAGCTGCAGATGCGGATGTGTTGTATTGTTGTATTCCTGGCACGCACCCTGGACCGAGTTTGGGAAGTGAGGAGTTGTGCTCACAGTTGGGGGATCGGAAAGTGTGAAAAAGGGGCGCAAGATTGTGTATGCTGTTGCGTGCTTTAGTAGTGGGTTTACTAGGAGGGTCCCTTCACCGGGAGATGTTGTTGATAGGGAGAGCTGGGAATTGTTAGTGGACTAGTTAAGTGGGAGAAAGGCATTCAGGGAGACATGCCCAGCCCTGCCAGCTCCTCCAGACTCCGCAGCTGCCGGCTCCATCGTACAAATCCATCTTTGCACGAACCCTGTGATCTGCGTTATACGGATCATACTCCTCCCACCGTCCAGTCCAGATCTTTTCATAGCAGCGGGAGTACTCGGGGTCTTCCCAGCGTTCCACACTGCCACCATCGATGTGCGCCCCAAGAGCAAATCCTGCATCGCCTGGCTGGCGGATCCGGAAGCGGTCGGCATAGGGTAGGGACACGGAGGTGTCCACCACCGACGACGGGAGCGAAGAATGCCAGAGGGAGTTCACAAAACACTGGGATGCCACGAGAGATGGATGGGCTCTCGCAGCACGCTGAGCTGGGGACCAGTATAATTCGTAGACTGCCGGTGAGTCGGCGGGGAAGGCTGCGCTTGTTAGATTTCAATAGTGATATATATATAGTGGGGAGAAACCTTGAGCCCAAGTATTGCGCCCGATGTGCGCTCTCAAAGACTCCTTCATTGCTAGAGCTTCCTTGTCTGGGAGGACATTCCTAAGAACCACAACACCTCGTTTCTTGATCTCTGCCGTTTTCTCCTCGGAGAGACTGGCGAGGTCTTTGAACTCCACTTGTGGAATAATCTATCAACCCGTTAACACAACCCCCCCACTCTACTGAAGGAAAGCTCAGAATATGTGGAATAAAGAGAGACAAACATCACTCCCAAACATCTTCACCACGGCCGTCTCCTTCTCAAGATCGAGCAATAGCCTCTCCCAGGACTCTGCCAGGATATTTTCCCGTCCAACCGTAAATCGTCCCTTTAGTTCAGCATACCTATCCGGCAGCGGAGGAGGCGCAATTCCCGATAATGACGGAAATACCGAAGAAATATCTCCGCCGACTCTACCCCGTGTCGTGGTAGTAGCCACCCCGCGGGCTAGAAATGCCAGCTTTGGCGTGAGGAGTTTTATCCTCGATAACATTTTTTTTTTCCGTTCAAGACAAAGTTTACGGTATTAGAAGTAGTGGATGTAGTGGTAATAGAGGAGCGCAAAGTTCAGAAGCACACCATCCATGGGAGAAACGGCACCTACAAGCCCTAATATACCCACACCCCATTCCATCCAAGAGGGTGTTTAACATGAAAATGAAACCGCTCTGTTAATCGACGGGGGCCTTTTAGTTCCTGATTGCGGTAGCTTATCCGCTTTCACCCCTCCTTTACAAAACCGTAACCTCAAAGTATCGTGACCAAGCGTACTTATAGGTACAATTATCTACGGAGCTACAGAGTATAATGTCCAACTCCAGACCTCTCAAAACCCAACCTATGCTATCATATGAACTACCAATACCCCACCGCATTCATAGACACTCACTCGTCCACCGGTTATGCCTCCGCTAATTGGCACGATTTTTTACCCCCTAATCTCGCTTACTGTTTCCTCTCGATAGGAGCCAACTGGTACTCGTACTTGTACGGCGAAGACAAAAAACCTGGGGTGCAATCACCACCTCAGCGGACACTCCCGAACCCCCTGTCCTTCGCCAAGACATGGCGTCCTTGAGGTTAAGCGGTGCCAGAGGTCTGAAATTAGGCCCTAGACAACCGAAAGTAGGCACCCGAATAAACCATAACACATCCCAAAAATCATGATGGAGCAAAAGAACAAGTAAAACTCCCCAATATGCACTCCCCCGCATTCCTGCGGAACCCTGTTTTTCTCTTGGTGAGTGTTGGATCAGAGGCGGGGCTTTGGTACCCAGGTAATACGGCGGGCCAAGTTGCGGGTTTTAGGTGTCCGGCAACCATGCGGCCCTATGTGCTGCACATGTCTGATCAGCGTGTCCAGACCCCTGGTGACGAATGCTTGCCGCCACTGGGGGCGCATTTTAAACACACTGCGCTCGAGTTGTGGGGGGCACTCATGTCTTCTCAGTTCGATACCTGTACGAGTACACTAGTACCGTGTGTGCGTGCACAGCCGTGATCGTAAAGTTCTCATATCCTTCAGCGAGAGCCTTTCGAATAACCGTTCGGGATATGCCTCTGGGGATATTGTGAGCCTTTATCACAATCCTATTTTCTAAATAGTAAGAGAGGGGATTAACTAAGTGGTTCCTAAGAGTTGGGATACCTGGAAGGGTAATGTATGAGTTTTACCAATGCGGCTGTACTGCACCACACGAGTACTCGAGCACTCGGGCACATGCATAGCGGCGGAGCTAAGCCCCGCATAAACGAAAAGATACCGTACTCGTACAGGTAAGGTATCTGCAGTACTCGCGCGGCCGAGTTGAAGTCGCGCATCCAAATCTGGAGACGGTCCACGGGTCGATAGGAATTGGTATGACTAATTGGATGCTATACTGGATTCAGTAATTTATTCAGGAAAATACTGAATTCCGCAAGTTCCTGTTGGTCCGCCGATCACTACCGGGTTTGGGTGCGCGACTTCAACCTGGCCGCGCGAGTACTGTACTCGAGTACGTGTAGAAATCCGAAACCATACCCGGGGAGGAAGGGTAAAAGCAATTATAAGTAATACTAAAATCCTGACAGTCCCTCCGGTCGCCCCCCGTTCGAACTTCATTGGGTTGCCAACAGGGCTGACCCCATACATAATCCAGCCTTAACAACACCCAGTCTCGGCCGAGAACAGGGTGTAGGAGGTGGTGTGGTAGGTGTCGTCTCTTGCTCCAGATGGGATACATAAGTATGATAGGGGGGTAGTACAGTACGGCACCGGTAGGAGGCGTGCTCTAATTTTGTCAAGCGAGAGGTGCACTTCCCTCTTATCTTTTGTCCTCCGGTACCGCTATTTTCACCCGAACTGCTAGGTAGGACTTTAGAAAAAAAATTCTTGTCACCCCTGTCATCGCCCAGGAAATTGCACGCTTTGGGTTACTGCTGTACTGGAGTTCTCATCCCTTAAACCGTTTTCAAACACTGGGGCTAAGGCAGTACTAGCAGAGAAGCAGGAGCAGCAACCGAGGATGTAGCTGTAAAGAGCACTAGTATTTCTTGGGGTGCGGGGGCCATAGGCGGGATTAGATTTACATAGACCCTCCTGCTTCCGTCATGGTCATGCTGATTTTTACGAACTTCGCTACATTCTGAGCACTACTCCACTTGGGATCCGCAGAGTGTTTCCTATCACAATTACTCAAATAGACTAGTGTTCAAGACTTTAAACAGAGCCGGATTTCTCAGCACTTTAAGGATAGATCCAGCTTTCCTTATTCTGCCCTAGCTATTGTCGATCGCAGTGTTAGTGCCGCGCTAAAAGTGAGTGAAATTCGGGACAGACGAAGGGATCTGTTCTCGGCGCCCTTATCAACGAGCTCATCCCAATGTACTCGAGTATGCGCAGCTGCGGATCTTTACTCGCGGAGACTAACACAAATCTTTGCCGAGAAATCTCCCCAAGTTTCAGTCAACCATCCAGGAGACCCTGGTGGAGTGTTTCACTAGTACGGTAGAGTACCCGACTGATGTCAGTATGGCACTATCGGGTGAAAGAAAGCCGTCTCAGGATCTCAGGGAACTAGCTATCAGGCGACCGGGGGGGATCAGCCTCTCAGCCCAGGCTATGTTTAGTTTGGTAACTGGACAGAGCCGCAACCCCAGCTAAGGGAACCTAGCAATCCCTAAGAGCTGACCCTATAGTTTGTCAAAAAAAATACCAACCCATCCTGAGCCTGTCTCATACCGGTACTGTGGCCCGGGGATTTCAGCGCTGACGGGGATACTTGTAGCAGATTTCAGGAGCTGTTAGATTACTGTAAGAAGAAAACGGACAGCATCGCCGTCCTGCCGACCGACAGGAAGAGTGCGAGTCAAGGCAACTGCGGAATCCAGTGTGCCGCTTGCCCGAACTCTTGCGATACTAACGTGTTAACTGGCCCGGGGCGGGGGCAAATCTCTTGCGCTTACTGAAATCTGGGAATTCTCCATAACGCTTTGCAGTGACCCATCACCCGCATCCAATGCCCGAGCTACTGCTGCCTGGGGTGAGATTAAATGCCCGTTAGCGGCAGCCGATAACGGTAGTATTGCCTCCAAACACTGCAGGGGCCAGAAAAAAGAGGCGTTCGAGGGTCGCAGAGACCTGAATAAAATATTAGATACATCGGTAGTTTTTTTTGTTTCACTAGAGCCTGCTGTTGTAGGTAGGAATTTCTCTTGCAGTATACGGAGATTTTAACTCGGCCCACGTAGGTAGTACAAGAAAAGTCGCCACAAGTTGTACTGTACTATCTGGTCAGCTGGATAGGGTTTTCCTTCCTTTACTGCGCTTATATGTTATGAGCTTCTTTACATTATGATTTTCCCTACTGGTGGGTTCCCGTGGTGGCGACTGTAGGTGGTAGCAGTAGTGGTTTCCTTTACTTGTATTCCTTTCAAGCTGGGCTTTGGTTTGGTTGGTGGGGGATTCCTTTACTTTACTTTGTTAGTCATCGTGAGCAATGCGAGGGGCAATCTTGCTCCGCTTTGAAGAAACTGCCACGTTGTTTGTTTTTTTATTGTTTTGCTTTGGAATTAAGGCTTTTTCTATTGCCATACCGCGAGGTGCACGTACATCTCTGGGCCACAACCAATAAACACGTGAATTAAAAATAAAAATATAAAAAAAAGCTGTACTATGCTACTACAATATTAACTCACTCAATTAGACAGGATGTTAGAGTTGCTTCTCCCAGTGAGATTACGTGCCTTTTTCCTTTCCTTTGTCTCAGCTGAGGGCTGAATGGCAGCTATTTTTCACTTTCCCCCCTAATCCATAGTAGGAAATTCTGGACGTCTTAGCGTGATGTCTAAGTGAGCGAGTTAGTACGCGGTCCCTAAGGGCGCAAGTACTCCAGTTTGATACATGCGAGTTTCAAAGATAGTCCAACTTGGTACTTTGCCAAGAATCAGCATTCGGGTGGGCCTTGGCCTCAAAGTGTCATACTCTCATGCGTAGGAGGTCCGTACTGCACTCCTAGCCGAGTGTACCTTGGCAAGAGGACACTGCTCAACTCAGACCCCCGAGGGGTATTAGACTCCTCTCCGACGAGAATTACAGCCCTATTCCATCATGGAAAATGAGTAACTCTCCACACAGTAGGGGATGGTAGGAATGACTCAGATTTTCTTGAAAAGACTGGGTCCTAGAGGTGCCAGTATGCAACCTTTTGGTAGAAGCGGGGGGATATCAGGGATGTGGCGATTACCGGTATTTTCCTTGAAACACATATGCCGCCAGCAATATTTGCGCTCCCGATTAGGATACCTTTCCTCATACGGTAGAGAACATGCGGCTGGCTTTTTTTCCCTTTCCTTTGTTTTGGTGTCTTTCCTCACAGGAGAGAAGTAGTAACTATGAAACGAATATGGCACTGTGGAACCTGGGTGCCGGGAGACATGATATTAATCAACTTGCACTATGATTTGGGGTTTCCGGGGTCTATGGGGAACACCGTACCTGTAGACTCTGAGACGAGGTACATTTATGGTTGGACTTGGAGCTTTCTAATGCCAACAAGTGTATGGTGCGGCATTTGGAACTGGCGATTGATTGCTTTGTGCGTTTACTGTGATGCTGGGGCACCTGTAAGTCACTAGGGATCAGGGCGGGCTATTGTCTTAGAACTGTGAGGGAAATCTGCTTCGGTTGTTTTCAAAGCACGCAATCTGGCCTCTATGTGAATCTACAGTGTCATTGTGAGTGTAGCGATAGTACTTGTACTTGTCCAAACAGAAACACTACATCCCCCTCCCCACGCCGGCCGAATAAACCACTCCCCCACACCTGTGCGCGGCTCCTCCGCATGATCACCGAATACTACCAAAGGCAGTACGAGTATTTTGGGGGCTCAGCGCGGGATAGATATAGTAGGATTGCTGTTTGGGCGATAGATCAACCTTACAGGGCACAGCGATCGCAAGCCTACCTTACCCACGCGCCTATCCCCCGGTCCAACTACAGATTCTGCAGCC